AAACAGAATTGTTTATACATAAAATGCACGTGCTGAAAATACTCTCTGCTAGTATGTCTTAAAACTGTCTGTTTTCATTATTGTTTGTGATTTTTAAAAAAGCCCAAACCAGTGAAAAGGGCTGCTGCTTTAGTTAGTGAAAGTCTGACACTGGCTGCAAGATTAGTCTTGAGACACACCTGGACTTCACAGATGTAGTAACTGAAGATCAGGGAGGTAGAGAAATAGGAGACTGAAGAGGTACGCTGTTTCCAGAATTAAAAGTGCAAGTTTCATCAGTTGTGGTCGCTTTTCCATGAATCTTTTTCTAAATTTTAATGATTGTGGAATAGGAAAAGATATATAAGCTTTAACAGCAGTAAGTCAATGTATTTCAAATTGCTGTTTAATCTGTTGTGTTCACCTAGTGTTATTTTCCTTTGAATCTTACATAAAGATTCTTGATTATTCCAAACTACTGTGCTTAAAAACTCAAGGTATCTCACCTGAATTAAACAGAGAAGTCTCATCTTGATTACACAGTCTGATTAAAAAATATTTTACTAGTTTCATGTGTTGGAACATGGTATCACCTCCCATTAAAACTCACTGATACCAGTAGCGTAAGATATGCTGATAAGCGTAAGCATAAGACAGCTGGTTCCAAGTGAATCTGCAGTGGACCCACAGCCAAACACAAAATTTCCCCCCGGGCACACACAGAGGGGAAGTGGGCCAATAATGTAGAAGAAAGGAAGCTTGCAGCAGCAAGGACCAGCAGGAGGAAGAGACTTCCCCCAAAGCCCGAGATGCCCTTGCAGAACCACTTCACTGATCCACAGGCTGAAAAGGAAAGACCAGTCACATCAAGAGACATGTTGGAGCTGAGTATGGCAGCCCAATCTGCTCCCCGTATAACAACTAATGCAACTAAGAAAAAGCGATGGGTAATAATAGTAGGCAACTCTCTTCTGGAGGGTACGGAGGCATCCATTTGCTGACCTGATGCACTCTCTAGAGAGGTGTGCTACTTACCGAGAGCTCATATCAAGGGTGTCACTGAGAGACTACCAAGCCTCGTACGGTCCACTGGCTATTATCTGCTGCTGTTGTTTCACGTGGGCACCAGTGATACCACCAGGAGCAGTCTGAGGAGTATCAAGAAGGATTACAGAGCCCTGGGAGCAGCAGTAAAGAACTCTGGAGCACAGGTAGTTTTTTCATCAATCCTCCCAGTCAAAGGGAAGGGGTTTGAAAGGACCAGTTGAATCTGGTGAGTCAACAAATGTTTACAGGACTGGTGCCACAGCCAGGCGTTTGGCTACTTAGAACATGGGACTTGCTTTGAGAAACAAGATTGATGGCATCCGTCTGTCAGAGAAGGGGAAAAGCGTCTTCAGTCTAAGGCGTGCCAAGCTCATAAAGCTCATGGCTTTAAACTAGAGCTGCTGGGGGAGGGGAACCTTAATCCATCCCATTCCTACCAGTTTGGTGCCAGTGCCAGCAGTAGATGCCCAGAGCCTGGAGGAGGATAACAGGTCAGCAGGAGAGCACCTGGAGTGCAGCACAAATGAACTCCAGCCAGTAAGTTAGCTTCATCAGGGGCCCAACTTAAATGCCTCTGTGCAAACACACATAGGGTGGGGAACAAACAAGAGGAGTTAGACACGTGTGAACACCTGCAGGGCTATGATCTTATTGGCAGCAGGGAGACCTGGTGGGATGGCGCCTATGACTGGAGTGCTGGAATGGAAGAATACAGGCTTTTTATGAAGGACAGCTAGGGGAGAATGAGGAGGGGGTGTCACTCTCAGTGGCCAGCTGGAGTGCATGGAGCACCACCTGGGGATGGATGAGGAGCTGACCAAGAGCTTATGTGTCACGATTAAAAGGAAGGCAGGGATAGGTGACATTACAATGGGTGTCTACTACAGGCCACCTGACCAGGATGATGGAGCGAAAGAGGCCCTCTGTAGACAGATAAGAGCAGCCTCACGTTCACAAGTCCTGGTCCTCATGCGGGACTTCAACCACCCTGATATCTGTTGGAGGTACAGCACAGCAGGGCATAAGCAGTGCAGGAGGTTCCTGGAATGTATTGATGATAACTTCCTTCTCTAAGTGATAGAGGAGCCAACGAGGTGCTATGCTGGACCTTGTTCTTGCCAACAAGGAGGGGCTAGTGAGGAATGTGAAGCTCAAGGGCAGCCTTGGCTGCAGTGACCATGAAATGGCGGACTTCAAGATCCTTAGGGCAGTGAGCAGGGAGCACAGCAAGCTCAGTACCCTGGACTTCAGGAGAGCAAACTTTGGCCTCTTCAGGGATCTGCTTGGTAGAGCACCATGGGGTAAAGCCCTGGAGGGAAGAGGTGCCCAAGCTGGTTAATATTCGAGGATCACTTCCTCCAAGCTCAGGAGCAATGCATCCCAACAAAGAGGAAGTCAAGCAAAACCACCAGGAGGCCTGCATGGATCAGCAAGGAGCTCTTGGACAAACTCAAACTCAAAAAGGAAGCCTAGAGAGGGTAGAAGGAAGGAAGGAAGGACAGGTAGCCTGGGAGGAATACAGAGAAATTTTCCAAGCAGCCAGGGATCAGGGTAAGAAAGCTAAAGCCCTGGTAGAATTAAATCTGGCCAGGGACATAAAGGGCAAGAAGAAAAGATTCTGTAGGTACATCAGTGATAAAAGGAGGACTGGGGAAGATGTGGGCCCTCTCCAGAAGGAAACAGGAGACCTGGTTACCTGGGAGATGGAGAGAGCTGAGGTACTTAATGACTTTTTTGCCTCAGTCTTCACCAGCAAGTGCTCTAGCCACACTGCCTGTCACAGAAGGCAAAGGGAGGGACTGGGAGAATGAAGAACCTCCCACTGTAGGAGACGACCAGGTTCAAGACCATCTAAGGAACCTGAAGGTGCACAAGTCCATGGCACCTGATGAGATGCATCCATGGGTCCTGAGGAAACTGAAGTTGCTAAGCCACTGTCCATCATATTTGAGAATTCATGGCAGTCTGGTGAAGTTCCCACTGAGTGGAAAAGGGGAAACATAACCCTCATTTTTAAAAAGGGAAAAACGGAAGATCCGGGGACCTACAGGCCAGTCAGTCTCACCTCCATGCCTGGCAAGATCATGGAGCAGATCCTCCTGGGAACTGTACTAAGGCACATAGAAAATAAGGAGGTGATCGGTGACAGCCAACACAGTTTCACTGAAGGCAAATCATGTCTGACAAATTTGGTGGCCTTCTACAATGGTGTTACAGCTTTGGTGGATATGGGAAGAGCAACTAACATCATCTACCTGGACTTGTGCAAAGCATTTGACACTGTCCCGCACGACATCCTTGTCTTTACACTGGAGAGACATGGATTTGACAGATGGACCACTCGGTGGATAAGGAATTGGCTGGATGGCCGCACTCAGAGAGTTGTGGTCAACAGCTTGATGTCCAAGTGGTGACCAGTGACAAGTGGTGTTCCTCAGGGGTCGGTATGGAGGCCAGTGCTGTTTAACATCTCTGTTGGTAATATGGACAGTAGGACTGAATGCACCCTCAGCAAGTTTGCTGATGACACTAAGCTGTGTGGAGCAGTCAACATGCTGGAGGGAAGGGATGCCATCCAGAGGGGTCCTGCACCTGGGTCAGGTCAATCCCAAGCACAAATACAGGCTCGGCAGGGAATGGATTCAGAGGAGAAGGACTTGGGGGTGTTGGTTGATGAGAAGCTCAGCATGACCTGAAAATGTGTGCTCACAACCCAGAAAGCCAACCACAGCCTGGGCTGCATCAAAAGAAGTGTGGCCAGCAGGTCGAGGGAGGGGATTCTGTCCCTCCTGCTCCACTCTTGTGAGACCCCACCTAAAATGTGTGCTCACAACCCAGAAAGCCAACCACAGCCTGGGCTGCATCAAAAGAAGTGTGGCCAGCAGGTCGAGGGAGGGGATTCTGTCCCTCCTGCTCCACTCTTGTGAGACCCCACCTGGAGTATTGCTTCCAGCTCTGGGGCCCCCAACACAGGAAAGACACAGACCTGTTGGAGCAGGTCCAGAGGAGGGCCATGAGGTTGATCCGAGCGCTGGACCACCTCTCCCATGAAGACAGGCTAAGAGAGTTGGAGTTGTTCAGTCTGGAGAAGAGAAGGCTCCAGGGAGACTTTATAGCAGCTTTCCAGTATCTGAAGGGCGCCTATAAGAAGGCTGGAGAGGGACCTTTTACAAGGGCATGTAGTGATAGGACGAGGGGTAATTGCTTCAAACTGGAAGAGGGGAGATTTAGGTTAGATATTAGGAAGAAATTCTTTTGTCTAAGGGTGGTGAGACACTGGAACAGGTTGCCCAGAGAAGTTGTGGGTGCCCCATCCCTGGAAGTGTTCAAGGCCAGGTTGGATGGGGCTTTGAGCAACCTGGTCTAGTGGGAGGTGTCCCTGCCCATGGCAGGGGGGTTGGAACTCAATGATCTTTAAGGTCCCTTCCAACCCAAACCTTTCTGTGATTCTGTGATAAGCTTAAGTGATTTGCTGGTTTGGCATCTCAGTGGGCCTTCAGTGGAGCTGCTGCCTACACGCAAGGAATGCAAAGTTTGGCTTGCTGATAGTATAAAGGTAAAACCTATACCTCAAGATAAGAGAGTAATTTTTTGGTACCGAAAGGATTGTGAAATGGACTTGGTAAATGTTATTAGGTACTCCTGAACTACAGAATGATATTTTATAGCTATAGTAAGCAATTTGTTGAACTGATTTGGAAAGACAGAGTTCTGATATCTATCAAGGTGAGCAAAAATTTCCTGTGAAGCTAAATAGAGGATAATGTGCTAGAACATTACAAGCATGTTTTTCACATAATCTGACAATATCTTGCTGTGGCAGTACTGCTAGATGAATTTATATTTGCTGTAAAATGCATAAGATACTAGTAGTAATGCTTAATATTTATATTCTAACCAACGCTAAGCAATTCCAGATTAATCCAAATAAGCTGTCATCGGTGTTTTTTTTAACTGGCAATATCCCCTTTCAGTGTCACTGCAGGACATTACAATGAGGAAAGCTTTCCGGAGTTCCACAATTCAAGATCAACAGCTGTTTGACCGCAAAACTCTGCCTATTCCATTGCAAGAAACTTATGACATTTGTGAACAGCCTCCTCCACTTAACATTCTCACCCCTTACAGGTTAGTAAAATGAAATTAATCAAAATCAATTTCGAGCTTATTTTATGTAATAGAGATGCTATGTCCAGGCATCTTGCTCGTGTTGAGTAGCGCTTCGATATTTAAGGAGCCACACTGTGAAGCTGCTGGAGGAATAGAAGTGGCAGACGACCTTATAAGCATTAAAATTTTACTCCACTTTACTCAAATATTACCCCACTGTAAAAATGGTAAGAAGAAGCCATTTTTATTTTCTGTATTTATTAAACTGTGTAATGCTCTTAGATGCGAAGTGAAGAAAATAAGCAGTTAAGTATGTAGAAAGAAAGGTCTTTAATGGAAATGAATGTTATTTGCTGTCCCAAAGTCAGTTTGAATCAGTAGTTGAACACGAGCAGCTGCACAAATTTGCTCATTATTTTAAAAGCAAGATTTGAGTCATTGGAATGGGAGTTCTCTGAATTATGATACTCTTTTTTTTTTATCTATAGTTTATGTTAAGGTTACTTTTCTAAATTCAGGACCTGGAATACAAGGAAAGACAGTAAAGAATGATGGCACAGGAGGTCAATGTTCATTTTTTTAATGTTCTTCAGTAAAATATTCCAGAGTCTGAGATGCTAGGTGTTCCTTAATATGCCTTTCCTTTGCCTTAATGTTTGGATTCGTGTGTTGTTAAATAAATAGTATACCCTATTTGCATCATTGTATTTCAGGGATGATGGAAAAGAGGGTTTGAAGTTTTATACCAATCCTTCATACTTCTTTGATCTGTGGAAGGAAAAAATGTTGCAGGACACCGAGGACAAAAGAAAAGAAAAGAGGAAGCAAAAGGTATACATGTTAGCTTTATATAGCTTCTGGTTGTTTTTTCCTGGAAACTGTTTACGTGCAGATATGGTACTTTTTTGGCTATGCAATAAATAACAATCCAAACTTTACAGAATCATCTTCATTCAACTACAACTACTTGCATTCATTCAATTCCATTAGCTTTAACAAATAAATATTTAATAATAATAATGAAAAATAATATAGAAGGGCCTAGAGCTTTCATGCTGTCTTAATGTAACTAACAGCAGGTTTGCCAAAACTTATAAGTCTTCTAGCAATGACTCAAAAAAGAGAAAAAAAGGAAGAATACAGCAAGAATAAAGAATTTTACTGGAACACTTTCTTATAATACAAAATTCTGACAAGCTTACAGGTGCGAAAGCTTGAATGACATTCTAATAGATATGTTTACTCTAAACTAGAAAGCAATTAGTAGGAATAGAGCACTTTGTTTATATTTTCTTAAAATTAAACTTTTGCAAAGGTAATGCTACTTTTTTGTTTCACCATTATTCTGTATATTTCATACATAGAGACAGTAAATATGTGTCAGATTCATAATTTCATTTCAGACTTAAATAAAAAGCTACTTATACAGTTATTTTCCTCTGTATTATTCAGCTAATTATCCACTAGACTGAAGTTTCTGCCTCTTTCAAGTCTTTTTGGTTACCAAACATATTTAGACTGAAAGTAAATTTTTCTTGCACTTGAATTGGGATTGTTTTTTCGTTATTTTGTGGCTGATGTTTAAATGCAACTAATTAAAAAAACACTTTCTTAGTTGTCAGTTTTGTTTGCACAACTCTCCTACAGCAGAAAAATCTAGATCGCCCTCATGAACCAGAAAAAGTGCCAAGGGCACCTCATGACAGACGGAGAGAGTGGCAGAAGTTAGCCCAAGGTCCGGAGCTCGCAGAAGATGATGCTAACCTCTTACATAAGCACATTGAAGTTGCTAATGGCCCAGCTTCACATTTTGAATCAAGGTTTCTTTTTCTTTTTTCAGTCCTTTATTAAGTACAGATATTCATGCTACATAGTGCACATGCTTGAGAAACGGTAAATGATGAGATGCTACTGCTCTTCTTGAAATGCACTGGAAATCATTGATTCAGCTCAATCAAAACTCAGTTTTAAAATACTTAGTCAGCGTGTCCTTAAAGAAGTAGTTATCTTGTTATTTTTAAAAGTAGTGTGTATCCTTGAGGATGTGTTGTCGTCTGCAATTTGAAGCAGGTGTAGTGTCACGGTTGTAAGCTTGCACCCAGGTGTGTCACTTCATTCCAGTCTTGACCTACAAAATCCCTATTATTCCAGTCTCTTGATTTTTCTTCAGCAGACACTGCCAAGACTCTATGGTGGGTGTGATGTGAGCAAATGTCCCCTTGGAACTCAGATGAGATCACTGAGCTTCTCTTTACTCTTGAGCAAATCCAAGATTTGATTGATGTTTCTGGTTATAGTCTATTACAAAATCTAACCTGTTAGATTCTCATTTCACAGCATGTATTTGCTGGTGGCTAAAAGTAGCATTTCACATGGTAAACACCTGCTGTGTTTACGCTTCTGGTGTTTGTGCAAATCCAGCTGAGAGGATAGGAAAGAGGGCTGACAACTAACTAGTGTTCGGGGGTTCGGTGGTGCACTTTTGGGAGGTTGTTTGTTTTGTCTTCTTTTAATTAAAAAGCATTCATTGCCCTCCAAAATACACTTAGATTTTTTTCCCCATCCTTCACTGGCCAAGGGCACCATACGAGAGTATTTTGTTTAGCTATGTAAGGCCTTCAAACAAATGTAATAGTGACAGTGGATAATTATAACAACTCTAGGAGATGGTGTCTTCTGTCTGAAAAATGGAAAAGTCTGTAGGTAGAAAACTTAACTTTCTGGATTCTGAAAGTAAAAATGGTCTTGGTGCATTTCAGTCCGTGGGATACAACTCAAGTTATGGTGATTAGCATTTTTCTGGGAAAAACTTTATAGTATCTTATCTTTGTAAACTGCTGTATCAAGTCGTTGGCAGAAACATCTGCTTTCCTGCCGTCCTTCCGTTGTGTTGTACAGCAGATTCCACATTAGACACGCTTGTTCCAGGACTTCTTTTGTATCCAGGACCCTGGCCTAAACCTTGATTATCTCAGTACCAGTAATGCAATTATGAATAATGCTGTAGTGCTTGGGAGCACTACGTGTGCAGAGCACATCGTGCTTTAGAATAACAGAGTATATTTCACCCCCGAAGAATTTAATAGGTTAGATACCACAGTGCTGACAGTGTGTGGAAGACGTAGAGTACTGCTTTACTTGTTGGAAAGTTTTCTGCAAACACTTTTCCTCTGAATGTATAGAGAAATTTTTAAAAATCTTTAATTGAGTAGTTAATTCAAATTTCCTAACTGATCAGGTCCTTAAGGTGTGCCTTAAGTTGTTATTAATAAGGAAGGTGAATAATTTTAAACTGTAGTTATCTTTATTTACTGCTACTATTCAATAGTAGATATTTAGGTTATTTTCCTTATATCTGTTGTATAGCTGCAAAGTATTAGGTCTAAAGTAGTCGGTTCTCTGTACTGGAATATAAGTCCTCTGACAAAAGTTCAGCTAAATTACTCAGTTGTAAATTCTACCATTCTAACATCAATGGATGTTTCATGAATGTTATAAAAGAATATGGTTGCATATATGTAGGGATTGAAGAGCAGAAACAATTACTGAGTATAATGTCTGGTGTATGTGTACTTCTGATTGTATTGCTACATTTACTTAGCTCAAAATAATGTAACTAATAAACACTAAGATCACACACATACTGTAGAAATCGTCTGATATACCTGTAAAAAGCATGAAACCCTTGAGCTGCTAGAAGCAATGGCATGGAAGGTGCGATAAATTATTAATAAGCCATGAAGTACAATATGCAGCAGTGATGCAGAGAAGATACTTGAATTCAGAAATCAAACTGAAGTATAGAACATTAGCTGAGGGCACTAATACTTACTTTTACTAAAGCTTACGTTGGATCATTTTTCACTATTTTTCTACAGATCTCAAGCATATGTGGACCATATGGATGGATCATATTCGCTTTCTGCATTGCCCTATAGCCAGATGTCTGAACTTCTGAACAGAGCTGAGGAGCGAGTGTTGGTCAGACCACATGAACCACCACCGCCACCTCCAATGCATGGAGCAGGAGAAGTGAAACCTGTGCCTCCTTGTGTTAGGTACGAAGTGGTCAAGCCACATGCAGGTTTATTGGAGAGTTTTAGTTTTCCACCGTCCTCCTAATAGTCCGTTACCATTATTTGCGTGCAGCCCAGGCAGTACACACATCCTAGGGGCTATGTCAGTCCACAGCCTTGACGTGCCTGCAGCTGCAGAGCCACACCAGAGTTGGAGATAAGGGTTGGAATCTAAACCCCGTAGGGTGCCATTGTGCAGACAGGTCTCACCTTGCCATTAATATTGTGAGTATGTCGCCGTCTGAGTTAAATGGCAAGACAAAAAACTGTATGGAAAATATTCTGTGAAAGAGGTTGGAATCTCAGGATTTAGCTTTGGAATTCTAGAAATTTGGAAATCTGAAATTTGTACTACTGAGCTGTGTTTCAGCTTACACAAAAAGAAGAATATATCACAGTAAGACAGTCAGCTGTCGAAACTATATATTCATCACATCTGTTAAATTGCAGATGCTTTTTTTTTTTTAAATTCCCCCAAGTGTTTTTATTTTCTGTTTCTCTGTGTCTTTCCAGAACTGGATACATACTTAGAGCGTTTTCTAGAGGGAGGCTCTGGTTTTCACTCCCTTGTTGTTTTATACCCAAAATCTTAACTTTATGGTCAGGTACATACAAATTGGAATAGAGGACAGTTAATTCAGATGCTTGTCACATCAGCAAGATGTTAGTCTCTTGAAAAGAATGTCTTTTTGCTGTTCAGGAGTTTATACACAGAAATCTTTAGATTAATTTCCCACAGCAGCTTAAAGAAATCCTCTAATGGTCTTCCAGGAAAATAATTTTATTGTTCCCTTTTGTTTTCTTCAGTTGGCCTATTCGTTGTATTATAATGAGTATCTAGCATATAAATATACATCTCTGTACATAGAATTTATGACCTTTGATATTAGCCTCACTCACCTTGTCATCAAACCTTAAATACGTATTTCAAATGTAACTCATCCTCATTGCTTATACTGTTTTGTTTTGTTTTTAAAGTTCTGTGAATCGAAGCAGTTAATCAACCGCTAGTTCCTTTACTTCGGAAAAATAATTTAGATTTACTTAGGGATGGGAGGGAAGAATTATACTAGTATGGGAAACCTTTGATAAAGATACAGGTTTGTATAAGAGCATAAACTCGGTTAATAGCTGAATTTGAGCAAAGGTCTGTTGGAAGACTGATGCATACTCCATACTGAGAATTAGATTTCCTTGTACATGAGGTATGAATAACGTGAAATCATCATAGTACATAATGCTCTTCAATGCCCAGCGTTCAATATTCTTAAGTTGCAGAAATGAATCTATTACTATTTTTTCCACTCTCCAGCTCTAATAACTTTGTCCTGTTATTTGATGTTGCAGTTCTACTACTGGCTTGGTGGAAAATCGTCCTCAGTCACCAGCAACAGGCAGAACACCAGTGTTTGTGAGCCCCACTCCTCCTCCACCACCACCACCACCTCTTCCATCTGCTTTGTCAACTTCATCATTAAGAGCTGCAATGACTTCCACTCCTCCGCCCCCCGTTCCACCGCCCCCACCCCCTCCCACAGCTGCTCTGCAGGCCCCGGCTGTGCCACCTCCACCAGCTCCTCTCCAGATAGCTCCTGGAGTCCTACATCCAGCTCCACCTCCAATTGCTCCTCCCCTAGCACAACCCTCTCCTCCCGTCACTAGAGCTGCCCAAGTGTGCGAAGCTGTTCCCGTTCACCCAGTTCCTCCACAAGCTGAAGTACAGGGACTTCCTCCACCACCCCCACCTCCTCCCTTGCCCCCTCCTGGCATTCGACCCTCCTCTCCTGTCACAGTTGCAGCCCTTTCTCACCCTCCTCCTGTTCTGCACCCTCCTCCCACAACCATTGTCCCTGCCCCTCATGCCCCGCTAATGCCTCCATCTCCACCATCCCAAGTGATTCCTGCTCCTGAACCCAAACGCCATCCTTCAACTCTTCCTGTAATCAGTGATGCTAGAAGCGTTCTGCTGGAAGCAATACGGAAAGGTAATGTTTGGCAAAAGAATGGTCATGGAAACTTGCTAAATCTGCATTAGCTTTGAGAGATGGAATATTGCATATGTGTAAGAAGTTAGTTTAGAGGAATGCATCTTAAGTCTGTTTCTGCTTTCTGTTCTCTACAGTATGTGCATTTCCAAGTTGACAGATTTTTTTTTCAATTTGTAATCAGATGTTTAGTTTGGATGGCAAAACTTGTTCCTTGTGGAACTTAGATTTATTTTTTAAAAAGTACAAGTGTTTATAGAAGATCTGTGGAGATTATCTCTTTGTTTCTGTTTACCTGAAAATACAGCTATTTCTGATAACCTAAAGATTGTGTAGAAGACAGAAACACTGTTTTTCACAGACCGTTAGATGAAAGCAGAACACATCAATGGGCATTGGAATTTTGATCATATACCCGTGTATTGCAACAACGTATAAATGACATTCAAAAATCGTCGCTTAAGACTTAAAGCTGTTACGTGTCTGATCTTGACAAGCCTCAACTCAGTAGTGGAGCAGTCTTTACATTGCAAGGTGCCCCACTGGCAGAGTGCACGGGGATGGCAGAGGTGCAGGGCAGCGTTTTCCTGATGACCTAGTGAGGAGCTGTACGTACAAGCTGTACCTTTCAGCTTACGTGCCTTTGGCTGGAGAAATCCCCACTGCGCTCTGAGTGCTGCTGTTTTGACAGTATGGTATCTTTGAATAGTTAATCTTTCTCAAATGTTTTGAGTGTTACATTCTTCTGGTTTTCCCCTGCACTTACAACACAGTACAGAATCTGTATGGTACTGTAATATCAGTCGATAGGATATAAGACTATTTCAAAATATTTTTAAAGCATCAATATGCATATGAATTGATAACATCATTGACTCTGAAGAAGTATCAACAGCAGTTGAGTACAACAGTGGTACATCAACACTAGTAGAGAATGTCAGCAAAAAAATTAATTAAGGAGATCCTGCTGGTATAGTTTAGGTGATTCCTGAAAATGCTTTTGACCAAGTCTTGCACAAGAAACAAAGGCTCAAGTTACCACAGCCTAAATTCCACTAAGGACCTGTGCTTGTGCTGCCTGTCAGTCAGCAATGGAAAGTATTAAGTACAGGATGTAGGTCGTATTTAGACTGTGTCAGTCTGTGCTGTTGTGAGTATAAAACCAAAATATATAATCTCAGTCATGTTTTTAACTAAGTTACTGGATTTAATTTTCTCATACTATCGGTATGTGTAATTTATCTTTTGTGTTTGATCTTTAAGTAATACTTTATCCCGAAACAAATCAATTACATGATCAAAAATGAGTTACAAGAAATTCTATCTTGTTATGGTAGTCAAGTAGTTCTAACTTTTAATTGAGACCATGAAGAGACGGTATAAAAATTGTTTGGAAATGCAAATAGTAAAATGGCTTAATTTCTTACAGTGGTACTAAAAAATGTGGGTGTGTTTTTAATGGGAAATCAGAAGCAGGACATGATGGTAGAAAGACTGATGTTCTAGTCTGCCCCTGCAATTCTGACATTCCTCTCTTTAAAAACTTGACAGAGAACTTCTCTCTGAGGAGGACAGTGTCCTTAGCCTTCATTTTTGCTTGCACAACATTTTGTGAATCATGAGCTAAATACTTAGTGTAAAGATGAAGGAGAGTAATGTGGTTGTGGTTTGATGTTCTGTAGGTATTCAGCTACGCAAAGTTGAAGAGCAACGTGAACAAGAAGCTAAGCATGAGCGCATTGAGAATGATGTTGCTACTATACTTTCTCGTCGCATTGCTGTGGAATACAGTGATTCAGAAGACGATTCAGAATTTGATGAAGTGGATTGGTTAGAGTAAAATTATTACATTGCTGTACACTGCAAAATCGAATGCTAATGTCCATTGTGGTGCTTGTTCTTTGAAAGTTTGATGGTCATTTCTAGTGGTTTTTGTATTCTTTTCTTTACATAATTAATCCATGTTTTTCTACTTTTCAGTTTACAAAAAGCTCCTAGTGCATCTTTGAAACTAAATGTTTTACAGTGGCTTTTCTTACACATCTTTTCTGAAAGAACATACTTTGTTCCAATTGACCACTAAGTATTAAGCATGGGCAGCTGTTGGTAGAGTAGCAGTTTCAATTTTTTGGCATATCTTAACTGTGCACTTTGTGAATTTTAAGTTAATGAAGGCAACTGAGATTGACATTCCGAGGGCAGCTGTATGTACTAATGAGCCTTATTCCACTGCTGATAGTGTTTTAAAACATTAAACCTAGCGATCAAGATATCACTGCCTCGATTACATCTGTACACTGAAAGTACATATAGTTAGCAGCACTGAACACACTGAAAGGAAAATGGATCTTTGGGGGTTTTTATTATTGTTTTATTGTTGTTTTTAAATAATTATGGCCTTATTTGAATGTTTAGAGATTCCCCTTCCCTTCTTCCCTTCCAGGTACATATTGTGTGGTACTACTTTTGCCTGCATAATAGACGTTAAATTTTTTTTTTCCTTGTGAAATCTTTTGACTTAAACATGCTGTGTAACTTAAGTAAATGTTAAAATAACAGTTTGATTTAATAAATGGTTCATTTTAAATGTTCCTGGCTGTTGCTTTTTCAATGAAGCCTGCTTTTCTCTGGTACACCTGAAGGATCTTTGAATTTCAAAGATTTCATCTGTGGTCTACAAAGTTACAATAAATATTCTGCACTTGATCTAAAGACCCATATTAAACAAGAAAACATGTATCATCAAATGATATCTATATGCATATCAACAAAAGAAAGCTGAAACCTTATTGCGATCCATTAGTTGAAAAAACCCCGACAAAACTGGGAGCTTGTGGCTTATATGATTTAGGCTGTTTTTTTTTTTTTAAAACAACTTTACCATGAATGTATCTTGAGAGGAGAAATAGAGATGCAGCAATCAAAATCGTGGTTAATGAAAGATGGCAAAGAACATGGGTGATATTGCAAAGTCATTTTTTAAGTGCTACCTGGTAGTGTACTGCATGTTGCGTAGTTATAGGGCTTTTGTGTTCCCCTTCTGGAATAACTCCTTCAGGTCTGAGCACACAGTCAAAAGCCTATTGAGAAGGGAGGCGTGAGAGAGTGCAAGAGCACTCTGACCTTGCGAAATCGTTCCTGGAAGATGGAATTGTATAATAGAGGAAAACAAGTGTTGAAACTCGGAACGAGATTTCTGAAGGTGGAACATAAAATGTTCTACACGCTTCAGGACAATTTAGAGAGGCATGTGGTTATTAACTTATTAACCTACTCTGAGGACTGGGCAAAACTCCAGAGTTACAGCCTGGGGCACGAATACCGTACAGCAACCCTTCCAACTTTACTGTCACTATCTCAGCCATCACTATGATTTTGTACATGTGTATTCAAGACTTTTTCTGCTGTAACAACAGTGGCTTTGTTGTGTTTGTGGGAAAAAAATAATTGTCACAACTCGTGAGTCTGCATCTTTGTAACTAGGGATGCAGTTCTTATATAGATGCTATATAGATGCTGTTCTCTTTGATAGTTGTTTTCACAGCAACGCCATCTGGTTTATTCTGGCATTTTCACTTAACTTTCAACATGCGCGTCCTTCTTAATACCTCCTCAAAATGTTAAAGATGTCAGAAGCACCACTGCTTGAATATTTGATTGTGTTTAATCTAGGTGTTTCCTTGGATCTCAGTAATCCCGAATTGCCGAATCTGGCCCAGTAACTAAATGCTACTGAGCAATCTCATTTACAGAGCTGAAAAGGGCTGATCTCTTCAAGCAGAAGAGCAGTATACACACACCTGCGGCTGCCCTTTAAGCAGGGAGCCAGACCTACACTTTAGGCAGCTGAAAGAAGAGCTTGTGCCTAAATTCGGTGTGTAGGTAGTTCTGCCACTCACAAAATTACTTTTCAACTAATGTTTAGACCTGTTCCTTGCTGCAGTCTCTAAACTCCTGATTTTCCTGGTGGATATTAGAGAAAGCAGCCTCCGTTGTCACTTGAATGGAGCAGCAGCATGTCTGTGCCCAGGCTGTAACTGTTCAAAATCGAGGAGCTCCTCATCTCACCGTCACGCCTGCACTGTAAGTATGCTCTGACTGTGTCCTGGCACTGTGAACTGGGTAGAACTTGCCTAAAGCAAGGAGATAAGTTAGGAAAAAAAAAAAAAAAGAAAAGAAAAAAAAAATTAAAGCAAAAAGGCCCTTACATGACTGCAGCTATCACATATTGGACTTGAAGGTATAAAAAAAAAATCCTTATTGACAAATGGTTGCTATTAACCTGCTGCACTGTCCCGGTGATTAATAATATCCCTTCCAAACCGGTACCCGGGGCAGACAAAACACTCATTTAATATGACACAGTCACACGAAGTAATGAACCTTGTCTGAGAAAAGTCAAGAGTTAAATTCAGTTAACATTTCAAAGGCGGGATTCTTGGCCTTCTGCCACCGCTACAGCTCTCTGCCATAGCAACTAGTCTCCAGATAGCAATAGCGTGATTCACTGGGAGCGAGAGGTGACTGTGGAATTTGAATATTTGCATTTATAGATCTACTCCAAGCCTTGCATCTGCAATCTCGGTGATTTGTGTCCCTCTTACTGTGGTCTCCAACTGCCCTTCTCGTTTGTTGGAACGCTGTTCATAGGACCGCTGGGCTATTCATGCCCGTGATTAGATGTGTAATAGATTATTGATTGCTTTGTCTTGTAAGGTACTAAATCAAGTCTTCTGTATTGAACTGTTTATAGGTTCTGTTGTTTACTTCTGTACATTTACAGCAGCTGGTTAAAATCAAAGACTTGAAGTCTGCTACAGAAATAACGTGTCAGGAATGTTCAATATAAGTGAAGAGAAACCTTTGTTCAACTTCACACCTTTCTTGAACTGTAATCTGGGACAGTTAAAAATTATCTACCTCTTCTACTGCAAAACAGGGGAAAAAAAGAATAAAATAAAAAGCACAGAACGAAGAAACAAAAGGCAGAAGACTGGGGTGGTGCAAAATTGCTCGCTCGGGGGTTTTATCAAAAGATAAAGTGACAACAAAGACACAGCCATCATGGACGGACCAAAAATAAATAGCCCAATGGAAGAGAACAAGTATTAAAGGGACAGAAATGACAAGAGACATAATTCTGGTTCTTTTTTTAGTGTTATATTGTGAACAGCAACCATTAAATACTAGATATCATTAAGGGATTATGTAATCTCCCATTAAATTGGGATTAAACAAGCAGAAGGCATTTTTAAAAAAAACCCTTTAGTCGATAAAATCATCCTTCCCTGTGTGTGGCACAGGGGTGAACTCTTCAGCATTCAGCTGGTTGCTGACATACCACCGCCTGATGAATGCACGGACTGATGCAGAGTCGGCTTCAAAAGGTGCCGCGGGACCCGACCATGCAAACAGGTACCGACGGCCCCAGTTTCGTTGCAATGGGGTATTCTCCACGATGCTGGGACCATCTCGGCTTGGATGCAGCTACCGCCCCTGAAGCACATCCCCGCGTGCTTTACCTGATGGCCATGAGCCCTCGGACTGCAACGAGGATGCAGACAGAAACATGGGGTCTCTGGTGGGCTGCCACATCTCGCTCCCCACAGCCCGTGGATCACCCTGGGGAGCGGAGGGTCACCACCAGCTCCGGAGCATGGTGTAGAAAGCCCTGCTTGGCAGGCAATCCAGCAGATACAGCTCTCTGCAAAGTTGCTAGCTTGAAGCAGGGTACCCATGGCAGTGTAGGATTATGTCAGCAGTCAGAGCCCCAAAACCCAGCATTTGCACAAACTAGAGCAGTTCCAAGAGGAGGCGAGGAGGCAAAGCCTTGCCACAGCCTCTGCAGCCGAGGTCTGCATCAGCAAAAGACCTGTCAGAAATTCGACTCGAGCTCCATCAAGTGTCTGCTCTGTATCCTCTGCTACAGCCTAGAAAGAGTTTTTCTCATTCCCTTTTGCAGGTGGTAACATTAAACACCAAGAGAGGACTCGCAACCAGAGGCCAGGGCAGCAAGAGCTGTCTCCCTTTCTAGGGCCACTCAGCTGCTTTTTTTCTCTCCTTTCCACTCCTGACTGCTTTTCCCACTTGAACGATTCTCAGGGTGGGAGCCTGCCCGTGGGGGACTTTTCACACACCCTTTGTGGCTGCAGCTGGGACAGACCTTCCTGATTCCCAAACTGCTTCTTGACTACATCTACCAGCCCTTGGGAGACATTAGTGCCCCCGTCTGTCCTTTGAGCTGCCTGGGACAGCGCTCCCTCACCTCATCCAACCGTAATGAGCTGGGGTAGGTTTAATTGCTTAGAAAGCAGATTCCTGGCAACTCAGGAACCTGCTTTTTGACAGCACGCATCCAGGGAGCGCTCCCCTGAGCAACTTGGCTGTCAGCTCTGAGGGTTTAACACAGGTCTGGCACCACACCACCAGGCAGCCGTGGAGGAACAGTTGGGGTTCCTGTCCCCATCCCAGCTGCTCCTAGAAAAGGACACATGGACAAGCCCCGGGAAATGGGCACTGGGATACAGACCCTGCGAGGCTGGAGCTGTGCACCCTGTCCCGTTCCCATCGGAGTGACAAAGCTGGTACTGTGCAGCCCGCGCTTTTTCTTCGATCCTTGCCATGCTGCGAGCAGATGCATTCCCTCCCCCAGCTAACCCCTTTGCCTGCGGAATGGGTTCTGCCGCCTTAGTCATCGCTTGCATTCCCCGACTGACAGCAGCCCCTGACAGCAGCATCAGCAACAGCCTCTGAAGAAAATTGCATCCGTCCTATTTCTTCAAAATTCTTATTTTCAGAGTATTCTCAAATTCTGGGCAGTTGCTCCAACCACCTTCCTTTCAGCAACTGGAAACATCTGAGTACAGATGGGAGCAAGTATCAAGTGTCTCTTGCCCAACAGGGCTGAATATTCCTCTCCTTATGTTTCTTTCTCCGATGGTTCAATAGCTTCACCTCCAGGCACAGGATAGCTGAGGGCTACCTACAAATGTTTTTTTTTTCCATTGTCCACCACCCCCACCCCCTATATGAATGCCTTTAATGACAGAACATTTGTTATTGCAAAACCTGTGATGTTTTAACTCAGCTTCATGGCAGTATCACTCCAAGAACGGCTTCAAAAATTACCTCCCTTCAGTGCAAGTTTTAGCCACTTACGCTCCTCTGCGAGGCGTTTTCATCACCACAACTTTAAAATCTCAGAACAGGACTCCTTGGGGCCTCCCCAGTCACGCCCATGGAGCAAACACCCACGCTCAATGTCGTATTATCACAGCTTGATTTTGCGCTTCACTACTAGCCAGAAACAACCCCAGCAAACTGCCCCAGTCTCACCTGACAAGAAAGCAGTGCGCAACCCGGCTGTTGGTGTGCTGGTGGGGCGTTCGCGCTGCCCCTTCGTGCCAAGCAAACAGTGTAGGCTGAATTTTCCTGGCCGCGCTTTGGCGAAGCCAAAAACCAGTTTGTAAGCATTGCCAGCAGGACACGCGGCCAACATGGCCCCGTGCAGGGATGCAGGGGGGCCCCCCAAGCAGCCCTGTCTGGGGGCTGCCCTCCCTCACTGCTCCCTGGGGAGGGATGTGTCTTCTGG